TGCCTACCTGGAGGCTAACTAAGATTCAACAAGCTGAGTTTGGCCCATTGGTCTTGAATTTTGATAAATATATTGAAGTGTATCTCAGGTTGATTCATCTCTTTTTTTTTTTTTCTTTTTTTTTATTTAAGAGGAAAAAGAGAAAAACACAAAACAAAACAAAGCAGTGTAAGGTTACATATAATACAGAACTACAAAAAAAAGCATAACAGTAAGAAATCACCTGTTAATAGATTACATATTATCATCTTGGAAATAGTTGCTCAAATCACAGTATCAAAGAATACAAAGTAGACATTCAAACAGAGAGACTACAAACAGCTGTGTTCAATGATCCAAAAACATTAATATAGTCAGCTATTCAACATCCCTATACACACTTGCTGTTATATCCGTTAGAGCTCTTTTTTCCCCTTCCTCTCTTTTTACAACAAAATTTACACATTTTAGATTTTATTACTCCTTAGTTCTTATTACTTTTTGGGGGGGGGGAGAATAAAGTCAAATATGGCAGAACAAAGCTGTCAGTGAAAACCAAGGATAGACTTAGCACATGATGTAGAACAGAGTATACGGTTATTAACAATAGTTATCAACGTTGTCTCTTGTTTCCTTAAAAAGATTTGTCTATCTCATTAGATATTATAAAGTTGGACAAAACAGTAGAGAACAAGACCAATAAAACTTAGACATTGTAAACATTACAGGACTTCCAAAAGAGACAATAGTCAAACCAGAATGGGCATCTTAGTGAATCTTACTGCCTTCAAAGTAGTTGCCTATACCCTCGGACCTGATACTATCCCACAGAATGGAACAGAGTCTAATCAGTCAAAACAAGATCGTGGGAGCATTACAGGACTTCAAAACAAGTTAATAGGAAATCGAAAAGAGTTACTATTATATATCCTAATTTTTTAAATTTTTCCCTTAATTAAAATAAACATAAGAAATAACTAAATAATTTTTTTAAAGAATAATAGTTACCATAGTGTCTGTCTTTTTCCTTGAGATATTTGGATAAAACTTCATATACTATAGCTTCAAATATTTCCATATCAAGAAGCCCGGAATAAAGCCTTTCTAATTAATAAGTGAAAATTTTATAAGGCTTCAAGGCCACATAATGGGGAATCATGATTGCCACATATTTTCATATATTTGAATCATTACTTACATTAGGGAAACTATTCGGTATTCATACATGCGAGATTGATTTATTTCACTTATGAGTATGGTCTCAAGCTGCGCCCATTTATTGATAAATATCTCAATGTGATCCTTCTTTATAGCTGAATAATATTCCATTGTATAGAAATACCACAACTTTTTTATCCATTCCTCAGTTGATGGACACTTGGGTTGTTTCCAAGATCTGGCGATTACAAATTGTGCTGCTATAAACATAGGTGCACATAAATCACTGTGGTATGATGCTTTCAGTTCTTCTGGGAATATGCCTAGAAGTGGAATAGCTGGAATAAATGGGATTTCCAATCCCAACTTTTTGAGAAACCTCCAGACAGACCTCCACAAAGGCTGTACCGGTCTACACTCCCACCAACAGTGCAGGAGAGTTCCTTTTTCCCCACATCCTCTCCAGCATTTGTTGTTGTTGGTTTTCTTGATCCTGGCCATTCTTTCAGGAGTGAGATGGAATCTCAGTGTGGTTTTAATTTGCATTTCTCTGATGACCAATGATGATAAGCATGTTTTCATATATTTATTTGCCATTTGCATTTCTTCATCTGAGAATTGCGTATTCATCTCAGATGCCCATTTTTGGATTGGATCTTTGAATTTTGGAGGTCTGAGTTTTTTTAATTCTTTATATGTTTTAGACAAGAGTCCCTTGTCTGAGAGAGAGTTCACTAAAATCTTTTCCCAGTTTGTGGGTTTTCTTTTCACTATGCTGGAGATTTCTTTTGACATGCAGAAACTTTTTAATAAGATGTGGTCCCAGTTATTGATTCTGGGAAGTGTTTCCCGTGCGGTTTGAGTCCTGTTCATGAATTCTCTACCTACTCCTATGTCTCCAAGGTTTCTACCCACTTTGTCTTCCAATAGATTTAGTGTTTCTGTTTTAATATTCAGATCTTTGACCCATTTAGATTTTAATTTAGTACATGGTGATAGACATGGGTCTAGCTTTAGTTTTCGGCAAATGGAGAGCCAGTTTTTCCAGCACCATTTATTAAAGAGACTATCGTTCTTCCAGTGAACCTGCTTGGCTCCTTTATCAAAGATAAGGTGGTTGAGTGTGTTTGTAGTTGTGGTTGTATCTTCTAATCTATTCCATTGATCTTCGCCTCTGTTTTGATTCCAATACCATGTTGATTTTACTACTGTTGCTTTGTAGTATAATTTCAAGTCAGGGATTGTGATGCCTCCTGCTTTGCCTTTGCTGCTTAGAATTGCCTTTGCGATTCTAGGTCTCTTCTGGTTCCAGATGAAATTTAGGAGTGATTTCTCTAGATCTATAAGGTATGTTGATGGTATTTCTATTGGGATTGCATTGAATCTGTATAAGAGTTTTGGGAGAATGGCCATCTTCACAATGTTTGTTCTTCCTATCCATGAGCAAGGGATGTCTTTCCATTTTCTGAGATCATCTTCAATTTCCTTTTTCAGTGTATTATAGTTTTCACTGTATAAGTCTTTCACTTCTTTCGTAAGAGTAATTCCTAAATATTTCATTTTTTTGCTTGCTAATGTGAATAGTCCAGTTTCTCTTATTTCCCTCTCTGTAATTTTGTTGTTCGTGTATAGGAATGCTATTGATTTCTGAGTATTGATTTTGTATCCAGCCACATTACTGAATTTATTTATTGTATCTAAGAGTATTTCAATGGAGTTTAGGGGGTCTTCTATGTAGAGTATCATGTCATCTGCAAACAATGATAACTTAACTTCTTCTTTTCCTATCTTTACCCCTTTTATTTCTCTTTCTTGCCTAATTGCTCTGGCTAGTACTTCCAGTACTATATTAAATAAGAGTGGTGATAAAGGACATCCTTGTCTTGTGCCTGATTTTAAAGTAAAGGCTTTCAATTTTTGGCCATTTAGAATGATGCTGGCTGTTGGTTTGTCATAAATGGCCTTTATTATATTGAGGTAAAGACCATCTATTCCAATTTTCTGTAGAGTTTTTATCATGAATAAATGTTGGACCTTATTGAAGGCTTTTTCTGCATCTATAGAAATGATCATGTGATTCTTATTTTTGGCTTTATTGATATGGTGGATTACATTTATTGATTTGCGTATGTTGAACCATCCTTGCATTCCTGGGATGAATCCCACTTGGTCATGGTGTATAATCTTCTTGATGATTTGCTGGATCCTATTTGCCAATATTTTATTGAGGATTTTTGCATCTGTGTTCATTAGGGAGATCGGTCTATAGTTCTCTTTTTTAGTTGGGTCTTTCTCAGGTTTTGGTACTAGAGTAATATTTGCTTCCAGGAACGACTTAGGAAGGATTGCTTCCCTTTCAATTTCATTGAACAGTTTGAGGAGTGTCGGCATTAGGTCTTCTTTGTATTTCTTGTAGAATTCTGCAGTGAATCCATCTGGGCCTGGGCTCTTCTTGGTGGGTAAGGACTTAATTACATTTTCAATTTCAGTAACAGAGATTGGGTTATTCAACAGTTTTACATCCTCTTGATCTAGCTTTGGCACTTCATATGCTTCTAAGAATCTGTCTATTTCTTCTGTGTTATCAAACTTTTGAGAGTAGAGGTTTTCGAAGTAGGTGTTGATGATCTTCTGTATTTCTATTGGGTCTGTAGTGATTTCTCCTTTTTCATTTCTTATTGCATGAATTTGAGCTTTTTCTTCCCTTTTTTTAATAAGGTTGGCTAGGGGCTTATCGATTTTATTTATTCTTTCAAAGAACCAACTCTTTGATTTGTTGATTCTTTGGATTGTTTTCTTAGTCTCTATTGCATTGATTTCTGCTCTGATTTTTATAATTTCCTCTCTTCTTTTGGCTTTGGGCTTGACTTGCTCTTCTTTTTCTAACAGTGCCTCAGGAGCCTGTGATCCCTCCCTGCTTGCAGAGATATCCACAGTCCTCTAGGCAAAGGAAGGGACTTCTGCAGGCACTCCAGATCCGCCCAGCTCCTCCTCTGCAGGCAGATGGCTAGGCGAGGCTGGGCTCGGGGGGTTAGTGTAGGCCCGCCCATCCGTCAGGAGCTCAGCAGACTTCCAAGTGTAGCGGGGGGGGGGGGGGGGGGGGGGGGGCGCTGTAGTGGCCTCTAACCCACTGCTCCACTTCACTGCACCCAGAAGCCTGGGGGGTCCGGAACCGTCTGAGATTTGGGCAGACTGTGCTGGGCACTCACCACAGGCTGAGGTGCCTCAGGAAGCTGCGATGCCTCTCTGCTTGCAGAAGTATTCAGTCCTTCAGACAAAGGAACGGGCTTCTGCAGGGACTCTGGATCCACCCAGCTCCTCCTCTGCAGGAGATGGCTAGGTGCGGCTGGGCTCGGGGGTTAGTGTAGGCCCGCCCATCCCTCAGGAGCTCAGCAGACTTCCAAGTGTAGCCGGGAGGGATGGGGAGGCAGCTGTAGTGGCCTCTAACCCACTGTTCCACTTCTCTGCACCCAGAAGCCTGGGGGGTCCGGAACAGTCTTGAGATTTGGGCAGACTGTGCTGGGCACTCACCACAGGCTGAGGTGCCTCAGGAAGCTGCGATGCCTCTCTGCTTGCAGAAGTATTCAGTCCTTCAGACCGATTCATCTCTTAACTGTTCATCTGTGAGTTGGGAACTCACTCAGTAACAAATTTCTCCAGATGTTTTGATAAGTACATTTATCATATTTACTCATCATTTGATAAACAAAAATAGTTGTAATATTGCACGTTTTTTACCCCTTTCTCTATGTGGGTCTGTACTTGTTGTGATCATAAAATTATATGTAACTGACCTGGTTTTGCACAGCTGCAGTATTAATACAAAGGATTTCCCTGCTTCCACTTTGTTTCATGTTTTACAGGCAGCCAGATGCCCCCTCAGCCACCTGGAAACCAGTCAGAATCCAGTTCCCATCCTGCCTTGAGCCAGTCACCAATGCCACAAGAAAGAGGTGAGTCTTCTGTTCACATCCTACTTGCCTATCGTGCTTTGAGTATCTAAGGCCCATCTGATTCCTCATAAATACTTCTCTTTATAAATGATTGCTTTTCAAAGTTTCTGTGTTTCCTTTATCAGATAAGCAAGAACCTCCATGTAACAACATAAGGAAGGAGAATTCTTTCTTACAGCTTGGATGACATTTTCCCAAAGTGCAGTTGAAGGCCCAAAGATATAGCATGATGAAACATAGTCTGAACATGATTATAATCTGATTTGATCTACATATGCATTGATAACTGTATGTTTCAATTTGAATGTTGATAAATTTTTATAATATATGTGTGCTTGTGCATGCTTTTGCTGTTGTTGACCAGCCACTTGTTCCATCATATTTAATAGTAGAATTATAAACTCACTGCAAGACCTTGTGATTTATAATTGTAAGATCTTTGAACTAGAATAGACCTGGAAGTTCACAGTATAGCTATTTGAGTTTACAAATACAGAAACTGAGGCTCCTAGAAGTTGTCATGACTTCCTCATTCCCAGAAGCTAGTTAGTATCTGAACTAGAAAAAGTAACATGGAATTTTTCTAAAACTTTTAAATACAAGTTTTCGCACACCAGCAGATTTGTTGTACTTCACTCAGTGCTTTGTGTCTGAGTGGAATGTTTGTGCTGCTTTGGTGAGGTCACAGGTTTCTCCCGTCCACCTTTGCTCTATCTCCCCAGTGCTGGTAAAGCATTGTTGGTGTTATGTAGGTGGTGGTGGTGATAGTAATTCAAACTGGTGTGGATTAAGACTTCTGCACCATCTGATGCTGTGGCCTGCCCACCCTGTTCCACAAGAGATATCATTTTCCTCTGTGCAGATTTGGAGGACAAAATATGTCAGCTTGGTGACTATTACTCAAATGGTTCTTGACCCCTGACATTTATAGTTATTTTTGTAAGAGTAAAAATTATATTTGATGCTTATTAGAATTATGAGGTTTAAATTATTTTACATTTTAAAAACTCAGCAGCAAAGTTAGAAAGCAGTGCCAATGCAAAGATGGTCTTGTCTCTGTATCATTTGTGTTGAAATGAATGTTTAATAGTTAAAATGAATTTTTCATTTTCTAATATTTTATTTCACTTGTTCATTATAATTTAAGGTATAGTTAATACTTTAATTCCTTATCAAGATAATAAAATTGGTTCTAATCATTAGATACTTAACTGTCTCATCTAACTAAAGTTTTGAAAACTTTATAATATATGCAGATCACTCACAGGGTAGGGATATTAAAGCCTGTTACTGGCCTGCATGGATTCCAGGGAAAGCTGAGTGATGACATTTAAACCCTGCATTTCTGACAAGTTCAAGGCACTGCTGATGCTCAGAGTTTGAGAAACATACTTTATGAAATACTGCCTTCATGCTGTTCTCTAATAGGCCTCAAAGCATTTGTTTCTCTGAGCTGTCCCCTGTGACCTGCTGTGTGTCACTCTGTAAGTTGGTCCTTTGTGTCAGTTTCTCCTGTGGCTACAGCCATCTGGCTATGCACTGAGAGAGAGCTTACCAGTGCCACACTCAGGAGAATTGCATATACTGTCTCTTTGGCTGTGGGCTACCTCTATGCATTGCTGAATCAGGGAGGAGGAGGCAAAAGGAAAAACTCTCCTCTCCTGAGTTCTTGCTCAGACCAGGCCCAGAACTGAGGATATTTGTTGTTTAATTCATCTTTAGTGTGGCTTTTTACCAGCATTCACACTGATATGTCATAAGACTGCTAATGTCACATGTGTCATAGGTGAGCAGCCCCTTGCCAGAAAGCCCTGCAGAACGTTAAGGAAGTACTGAAAAAAGCCAAAAAGAAACCCCTCCCTGTCTCCAGCAGCATCTTTCTGATCTTTATAGATGATAAGATTAAGATTTGAAAATACAGAGAATGAAATGTGAAGAGCAGGACTTGTGGTGTAAACCAAGTCAGACTTGGACAAACTATTGCACTTTCAGGGAAAAAGTCTTAAGCATTTCCACTAATGTCACTTTATAGAAATTATCATATTTGTTAATTGCTTCCTCTTACAGCCTTTATTACATGTACTACGATTTAGGCAACATGACAAACATAACAATCTGGATGGTTATTATGACCATTTGCTTCAACTGGCAATATTAACTTAATAAGCTGCCAAATCTGGATATGTGCAGGTATTTCCCCAAAATCTCCTCCAGAAAACTGTGTCTATAATGTGTGTTCATTGTCTTTTGTGCTTCCTATAGTCAACCTCCTAAAAAGCAAAACTTCATATGTTAAAATGATTTATAATGTTAAATTATGCATTGTTGTACTTTAGTTAAATGCGCTGTGAAAGTGGATAGCAAAAATGAAAACAAAGTTTTATTTAATGTAAAAACTTAGGAAGAAATGTTAGTTCCTAATAATGTTTGATAAAATATAAAAAGTCTTGTTTATTTTACCATCATTTGATATATACCAGCCAGCATACCTGGTAGTTGGTACATCAGGTGAAAATATAGTTTTCTATTACTAAGTGCTAAAATAACCAAAGCAAAACAATTTTTTTGTATTTACTTTATTTTCACAAAATGATAGTAGAATTCTTTAGTATACTTATTTTCTTTAATATATCAAAAGATACATTTTCTTTCATGGCAAAGACAAGAAACAGACTTAGTTAGCTATAAGCCCCCAGAGCAAGAGATGATGTGCCTACTGCTGTGTGGGAGTCCTGCCCAAAATCCTTGTAGGCCCGGTGGTACTAATTTTGCCACCCTGGAGCCAGATCCCTTCAGCCTTAAGCAGCTTCATTCACCCTTTATTGTCTTTCCTTTTGGCTGGTTTCTGTATACCTTCTCAGTAAGAAAATATATTATAAATTACCTACTCTGAATTTCACAAACCTTATAGTACCCTGGGATCTGAACTACCTTGGCATATGCAACCAGTTTGGTGCCCATACACACTGAATGCTAAGTAATTCCCCAAGCCCTGCCATCTTTAGCCACCCATCTCTGGTTTAGGAGCCTTTTTACCTGATAATTCTACTACTGAGTCTCATCAAAGGGCATCAGTCTCGAATCCATTCTCTGCATTGTACATAGATGAAGTTTCTACAGCTTTGTATTTTTCATATATAAAAGGTGTTTGTATGAGTAAATACAGATATGGCAATGAAGTTTACAAAATGGAGAGAAACTTCAGGCGTTTATGGGCATGTTTATTTCTTTATGTAGTGTTGTTTCCTCTGCATTTTCACCTATTTTCCAACATAAAACTTGATTTAGTACTTTTCTGCTAGAATGTTTACTAACTGAATTTCTTAAGCTAATTTTCTTAAATTAGTTCAAATTATTTAGTCTTCATTGCTGACATAAATTTAAATGAAGAAAAATCAAAACTTCAGTTTGGTATTTTATAGTAACTCATTTGCCATTTTGTTCTCATTGTAAATCAAATCCCTCTATAGACTTCATATAACGAACAAAATTGCTGTTAAGTCATTTCACTAAAAAATAAAGTAATATAAATTTGGCTACCTAAGCATTGGAGGAGTAACAATAACTATAAAATATTAAAATAAATTTATAAGAATTATAGTGACCAAGTTTAGATTAGTTTTACTCTTACTTCTTAATCTTTAACATATATTTCTTTAAATTCACAATAGAAGCATAGGAAATGACTTACTAATATGTTGCTCTGTTTTTCAACAAGGCTTAGTGAAAATATGGAGTATTCATCTGAGTAGATAAGTAAGTATAATGATTATTAAGATTAAAGTGATCACATTTTTAACCCTTATATTAAGCTTAATGAAACTAGTAAATGCCCTTCTGGTTTACTGGATTAGTCATTAAGTGAAAATACTGAAAGAAGGTTTATATATTTGGACAGATATAGTCAGAATTAGGTTTTTGAAAACCTTTTAATTGAATCCCTTTTCATTTTCACAGTGGTGTCTAGTTAAATATTCATGTTAATACTGGTAGCTTTCTAACAGTCTGAATTAGGTCTAGATTGTCAAAATTAAGACAGGTTGTTTTAACCCTCTTCATCTAGCATATCGGCAGGAACTTCCAGAGCTGATCTGACAGTATTGGAATAATTAGAAGACAGCAATGAGGCTTTAATTAGTCCTTCAGATAGGCTGGGACAGAACCCCTAAGAACTTTTTCTCCTAGACGTGGACTGTGAGAATTGATTCTGCTGCAGGACTGTAATGTGCTGGGAAATATATTCTCTGCTGCAGGCAATTCTTTGGCACCATTCTGTGATCCTCAGATCTGCACAGAGGCATCCTTGAGAAAGTCTTCTATGATTGTTGAATAGCAACACAAGGTCTTGATATATGTCCCCCTTGTCAGCTATCTTCATGGTGAGCAGGTTGGCTGTACGACTTGGGAGTTGACTGTTAATGTATCTATAGTACCAAAATTATGCAAGCTGTACAAGTCATATTTTTCCCACTATAGTTTGTGGAAGTGCTAGAAAAAAAGAAGGAACAAGATTTTGCATCTGTATAAGTTTCAAGTATTTTCTCCAAAGAGGGTACTTAATAGCTGTTTATCAATAAAATCACATTAGAATCTAATCTTCACAGTGATGTTCATTAATAACTACATTCTAATAAAAATAAATAGTGCTGTTGTCGATCAAAAGTATATAATAGATGAGGGTGTAGGTAGGTGTTCTGTGTGCTACCATAAAAAGTAAATCTGAATTTCTGTATTTCAACACTGGGGTTTCAGACTTTTGTGTTTTATATATATGATTAAATAGAATATGTCTTTATTCTTCTTGTATTTTTCTTTCATTAACCCAGATGTTAACTGTCTTAGTATAGTTTTTCCCACTAATTAATGGTATAGATAGCCTTTTCAAAGTCTGAGAAGAATTCTACTTCAGATTTCTAGCCACATACAATCTTACAGTAAATCTTCGTCTTAACTTCTTAGTACTGTTGCAAGGAAGAGATCTCTTAGAATGAATTAAATAC